TTTTTTTTTTCCATTCTTACCAGCCAGCATGGCTTCGTGGCGTGACTCCCGAAAAAAAGAATGAAAACTTTTTTTTCTTCTTTTTCTTGTTCAAGCGAGATGAACTTCCGCAGACTCAAGGTGGGAGAGAGCCTTTGGTATGAAGTGACACACGGCAACCGATTGTGTGCGAATCAAAGAAGATAGGCTTTGCACACCGAAATGAAGCCGCGTTCGGCCCATGCAACACTGCACCGGAAGTGCACCCGCCCCACGCATGGTGGTGATGAGCATCATCCATCGCCTGTTGTCAAGAATTGCCTTCCCCTTTTGCTTTTTCTTTCTTTTTTTAATTTGGATTTTGATTTTGCGGCTTGGCGGGCCGGCAATTCCTTTTGGATTCATGTGGAAGGCAAAGGCGGTGCGGCGGTGAGCAGTGCTGAGCAGTGCTGAGCAGCGCAGAGCGACGCAGAAGAGCGACTGACAGCTGGCTCCTGCCTCGCCAATAACGGCCGTTGCCTTCCGCCGATGGCTCTGGCTCAGCTGGTCTCGCTCAACGCCATCACATCCCGACGCTCCCCCCTCTCTCTCACCCTCTCTCCATCCCTCGCGCAGCGCCAAACATCCCGACACGCCACACCGACGCGTGCCCATCCTCCTGGTTCGGTGCCTTGGAGCTGCTCTTCCACCATCATCTCTGCCTCGTCCTCGAACCGCTCCGTTCCGTCCACCCAGAGACAACGTCGACGACGCGCACCCACCCCTCGTCCTCATACGCTCGAACAGCGACCCTCAGCTTCTCTACCCTCTACCAGACCGTCGAGACAACGTCAGCGCTCGTAGGCCTACTGCTCGCCCGATTTGCTGCTCACGCTCGGACCGCCCTGCGAAGCTTGGCATCCTGTCACATCGGCTTCCGAGTAATCACACTCCCGCTCGCATCACCGCGCCGTCACCGCGCACCGTCACCGACTAGCGCCGCATCGCTCGCATCACCCGCTCTACGCCTCGTCACCCGCTACGTTCATTGCACGTGATGCTCTGATGCCTCCCACCCGTCCGCTCTAGCTCGTCTGCGCATACATCATCGCTGCTAGCCCGCCCCGACGTAGCTCTCTCGACCCAGCCAATATGTCGCTCGTACATCCGCAATCACCAGCAAAGCCCTCGCCCGACTCGCCATCCCTCCACACAGACTCCATCTCGCGCTCCTCCTCCCCCATCATGTCGTCCCAGCCCGAACACGAGAACGACTCCACCATGCTCACCACCTTCGACTCGTCCATCACCCCGCCAGACTCGGCACAGTCGCCCGCCAGTCTGCACGACAAGCTCGCAGCCTCGGCTCCAGCCCAGCCATCGCGCCTCGCTTCCGCAGCCTTTCCGACCACAACCACCACCAAGCCAGTCGCCATCGGCCCCGAATCCAGCGCCCTCCGAGCCGCAGAGCACGGCGTCAGCCCCGTCATCAGTGCGCTTCGTTCGCCCTATCCAGCCAGCCCGAGCTACTTTGTCACCGCCATCCCACCACAAGACTTCCCAACCTCCTCGGAATCCAGCAACGCAGAGCGCGACCGTCTCCAACGCGGCTCCCTTCTGCCTCTCTATCCCACCCTCGGCGGTCAGCTCTGGGCCATCTCGCGCGAATTCGCCCTTCCCTCCGTCGGCGGTCTCCTGCTCTACCTCGCCGACGATGGTCAGGGCAACCGCGGCCCCAGGATCGGCGATGCTGCCTGGCAGGCGCTCTGGTCTCGCTACTTTGCCGACGACGACCTCTCCTCCACATCCGCCGCCGCCTACAAGCCTCCACCCAACTTTGCCCACAGTCGACGTTCCTCCGAAGCCGCCGCCGACTCGTTTGCCCATCCTTCGTCGTCGTCGTCCAGCGCACACGCCGCCGACCTTTCGCGCTCCACCATCGCCGAAGCCTCGTCCAGTCGTCCCAGCATCCCCTACGTCTCCTATCGTCCCTCTCCCCGCACAGACGCTCTCGGCTTTGCCCGCCGCGACATACACACAGACTGGAGCCCATCCGTGCGCAGCGCCGCCGCTTTCCCCGCCGGCCACCACCAAGCCATGCCACCACCACCACCACCACCACTACCCTTTCCCAGCCTTCCCATCGTCGCACGCATCGAGTGGCAGGTCGACTCCGCGAAGGCGCCCTGGTGGCCAAGCTGGGTCGCTTCCCGCGCCAACCCTCGCGAGAGGCCCTCCCATCCTACGCGAAAGAGCATGCACCTTGCGCGCAGCCTCTCGCAGTCTCAAGATGATGAGCAACAAGGTGACGAGCCACAAGATCAGTCGGACCGAGCTATTGCCAAAGATGTCGCGCCAAATTCGCAACACGAGCTCGAGGCGCAAGACGAGATATCCGAGATCGAGCAGCCTACGCAACACGAGACTCAGCAGCGCCCGGCCTCCACTGCATCAAGCCACGAAGCCGCCTCCGTGCGAGAAGCGATAGCGCACCGAGAGGCGGCGGCCGACGCTGGCGTCGAAGCCGCGCCTCTCGAGGACACAGCACCTCACGACCACCCGCTGCAGCTTTTCCAGCAGCGCTCTTCCCAATCATCGATCACCGCGTCTCTGCCCGAGGAGGAGCCAGAGATTGGCAAGGAGCTTTTATCCGAGGTCAGGTACGAGCAACACGCACCGATGCCCACTCTGCCTACCAGGTCCGCTTCGCCATCCGACGAGCCTCTCCAGTCGCAACGCGCCAGCATCCTCTCGATGAGCTCGGGCGCATCAGCATCGCGCCCCGCTCTCTCCGTCTCGCGCGCGTCCATCCAGTCCAAGCCTGTAGTACCCGCGTCCGCCTCTACGTCTTCGTCTTCCGAGCTCCAACGAGCATCTCTCCAACATCAGCTCACACGCGATGCGCTCATGCCCAGCCACCGCTCCACCTCTGGCCAGAGTCGAACTGGCTACTCCGAGATCTTGGACGCGGCCGACGAGGCCGAGACAGAGCACGACATCAGCTTCGGCAACGAGCCTCTGTCTCTCGCGCACGCCGGCGACTACTCGGCACTTCCGGACTCGCCTTCATCCGCTGCCCACGAGATCACTGCGTCGCAGCGCGGATCCGCCTACGAGCCCAAGGGCTTCGCGCTCCGCCACAGCTTCATCGTCGATGCTGGCGACGAGGCCATGTGGCAGGATTTGCAGCATCATGGCATGGACCCCATCCTCCCCGCGCCGCGCGAACCGAGCCACGCTGCGCCATCCTTTGAGCACGAGCAGACTCCCGCAGCTTTCGACGCCGACTCGCGCGATTTCGAAATGCTGCACGCAGCACCCTTCGAGGCTGTCACGGCTCAGCCGCCGCAAGTGCCGATGCAACAAGTGCCGACTCACCACCACGACAGCAATGCCGCCAACGACGTCTACTACAGCCCTCGACGCGACAACATGGCTCGCATCCAGAGCTGGATCGGTAAGACGCCAACCGGCCGCCCCAACTCTTCCGGCGCATTCGACGACGACTTTGCCAACGACTTCAGCCACGGCGAGATGCAGCTCCCGCCAGAGTCCGACATCGACGAGGTCGTCGGCCTCTGGGCCAGCAAGGTCCGCCAAGATCCGTACGCGGTGCCTCACATCACTGCGCCGTCGCCGTCGGTGCACGCGGACGAGGATGCTGCCCAGGCAGTTGTCGGCCGAGGCCACGAGCCACAGTTCCACATCCCTTCGGCCGAGGGACACGACACAGACGCCAATCTGGAGCCAGGGCCGCCAGCCGTCTCGCTGCTCAGTCCGATCCACCTCGATGCGGCCGCATTCGGCGGCGTCAAGCCTCAGTTGGGTGGCCTTACCGCATCGCTCTCGCCGCAGCTCTTGAGTCCCACGGCGGTCGGAGACGCCTTCAACACACCGCGCGCTCCACCTTCGCCGCGCTCAGTCTCGACGCCCATTTTCCAGCATCACCCGCCTTCGTCACCCGGCTCGCTGGCGCTACCGCAGGACCGCCGCCCGAGCAGCGTCAGCCGTCGCAGCTCGGGCGATTTGAGCGACAGCCTCGAAGACATGCAGAAGGCGCTCGAGCTGCTCAGCCCCGGATGCTCGCCCAACCCTGGCCACGGCCACAGCCCCGATCCTGCCGGTCGCAAGATGTCTAGCAGAGACAGCCTCGCGTACGCCCGCAGCCTCTCGGCCTCGGTCACGCCGAGCCCCAAGTGGATCGCGCGCGCCAAGGCTGCCACTGCCAAGAGTCGCAGCAACGCCAGAAGCCCATTCGACCGCGCACCGGTCTCGCCGCGTCCCGCCAGCACCTCGGCCGTGTCCGCGTCGCGATTCCAGTCGCCGCGCATCGGCATGCACGCGCCGCTCAGCGCTTCCCGCTTGGTCGAGTTCAGCAAGGCGGACGCCATGCCCCGCCTCGCAAGGACCGAGGTGGCGGATACAGAGTCGATGCGCTCCCGCGACAGCAATCCAGAGGCAGCAGCCGTGGCGCCGTCCGCTGGCGCCGAGGAGACGCTCACGGGGACCGAGGACATGGCTGAAAGCAAGCCCGTGGCCGCGCGCAGCGTGGAGCCTGAGGTAGCGCAGGAGCACGCCGATGCAGCACAGGAGCAAACCGAGCCGATCCAGGCCGGCACGCCCAAGGCTAGCAACCAAACTGTCGAAGATGGCGAGTCCTCGGCCACAGAAGCAGCGGGAGCAGTAGCGACAGCAGCAGCACCAGCCTCGGCCGTCGTGGCTGAACGAGCCATCGATGCGCCTGAAGAGGGGTCAGTTGCTGCACCCGACCATGACGGAGACGACACCACCGAGCTTGCGGCTTTTCTCGGAGACGACCACGACGACGGCATCGCCTCGATCCAGCGCTTCCTGCGCGGCAAGGTCGTGTCAGCGGCCGAGTCCGAGGCGTCCATCACTCAGGATCTTACCGTGTCTGGCGTGGAGCAGCCGCAGACGTCCAGCGCAGACGGCACCATCATCGAACGAAGCGTCAGTATCGACAGCGACATGAACTCGGTGCCGCAGCCGTCTGCACCTTCGGAGCATGCGGACGCCGCCGACGTGACCGACAAGCAGCACGAGCATGACGAACATGCCGAGATTCAGGCGACGCAAGATGACGCCGCCTCGAACGAGCGCTGGAGCCAGGTCTCGTACGCCACGGGCAAGCACACTTCGCAGTTCCCGTCGCGCCTCTCGCTGCCCTCGGCCAGCTCGAGGCGTGACGAGCACCCCGATGCACGCACGCCCAACTTTACGTACGACGCGCTTCTGAGCTCCGAGCCCACCACGGCGGACACGCTGCTGAGCAGCACCAGTCGAGATGACGAGCGTCTGTCAGCAGCCAGCGATGTGGTCAAGGCGTACCTGTCCAGCTCGCCATCAGATGAGGCGTTTTTCAAGTCGCCTGGCCCGTCGAAGCTTGAATCCGCGGATGGACCTAGACTTGGCCAAGGGGCAGCCTCTGCGCTTCCTCAGCCGATGTGGCAGCAGGACTCCGCAGCTAGAGACGCCGCCTGGCCGCACATCGACCGGGTGCCCGAGGTGAAGGACGAGACGAGCCAGGGAGGTGGTGTGCCGGTGCTTGCGTACCGCCTGGCGTCGTCGCCGGTGCACGCCAGTCCGTTTGGGATCAACCGGCCGCTGGCTGGCACGCACGACTACAGTCTGGACGAGGAGGAGATCCGGACGATGAACGAGGACACGCGTGCGGCGGTGCGCGAGGCGCTGTCGCAATCGACGTCGCACCATGTCAACCTGCCAGCGTCTGTTTCTGCGCCGCTGTCGCCCAAGAGCTCGACGTCGCCGACGCTGTCGAGCCACTCGTCGCTGGGCGACCAGTTCCGGCGACGCGGATCGACGTCGAGCCTCAACCTCACGTCGGCAGGTGCGGGCAGTGGCAGCAACACGTCGTCGCCCAACCTGGGTGGCACTACCAAGCGGCGTCCGGCGCGGCTCACTTTGGACATTGACGGGCTTGCGAGGTCTCCGCCCGCGGCGGCGTCGCGCAGGTTGCCGTCGACGTCGCCGCGCTCGCGCTTTGGACAGCTGCCGCCGTCGCCGTCGCTGCATCCGAGCTACAAAGCGGCGACGTCGAGCCCGCTCTCGACGTCGTTCCCCATCATGGGCGCGCATCTGGGCAGCCCACAGGGAAAGCACTTTCTCCCCTCGCTCCCCAGCGTCACCTCGATCGAGGCCGAGCTGGCTGGCTAAACCCGCGCGCCCTGGATAGCGTCGCATCACGTCGTCAATGTAGCACTTGTAACGAGGCGGATAATGAAAAAGCCCTTACGGTGTACGAAGAGGGAGAGAGAGAGAGAGAGAGAG